GACTCCAACTCCTTGCACATTTCATTGTAATATTTTGCTTTGTCATCCCGTGTTGCCTTTTGAAATCTTCTATTCAACTCTTTAGTATCTTGAATTCTTCCTTGTGTAACTATCACCTTGTGTAACTTTCTTCTGTAACTATCATCATTTATCAAAGTTCATAGAGTTTCCAGAGGCACGTTGTTTAGGAAGTGAATGTCACTCCTGCTTCTAATTCAATTAGTATTTCTAAAATGAATAAATGAACGTTTAAATAGGGTCCCTGAAAGGAAAGAAGCTGGTAAGATTTTTCAGAGTAACAACTCAAAACCTGCCGCCTGGCTAGAGTTTTTTAAAATGCAAGTGACAAAAGTTATTCACTGGGGAATTTATTATTCCCAAAGATGGCTAAGGCTTTTGGTGAGCCAAACCATTGTGGCACAGCAAGAACACTCACTCTCCCATTCTTTCTCAGATCGAAACTCCAAGGATGTGGGTGGTCTGGCTGTCGGGTACATCTCACTGATGATATAAATGTATGCTTAAAACAAAGAAGCATCAGTCAAGCTGAAGTTATTAATGAAATCAAGATATTATTCAGGATTCCTCTAGAAACACAGTGTATTGTCTAATCATTACAATATAGCAAAATGGTTGCCAAACTTCAAAAATGCCAAGGGAAGGGGCGGGGGGAAATGCAATTTCTTCCTGAATGTATGCTGGTTTGTTATAAAAACCAACTAAACACTAAAGAGATGAGAATGTCAATTCTTTTCCTAGAGAGATCAAGAAATAGTTTTCTGTATCAATGAAAATGAACTATAAACTGTACTTCAGTGAGGGTGTTACTGCAGTTGTTGCAGTTACCTGTGGACTCGTAACAAATATTTACCTCATATCTACGGGGTATAAATCATGAGAAATGCAAAACTCAAAAATGCACTGACATTGAGTCAAACAGTCTCAGAGATGACATGTCAGTGGGTTTTCAGAGGCTGTAAATATCACAGGAGATTTCCCATTTTCCTCTTGAGGAGCAGCTGTTGGATTTGAACCGCCTGCCTTTGGACTAGCAACTCCTTATCCACTAAGGCACCAGGGCTTTCTCCCTACACATTTGGACACCAGATACATTTTCATGAGAGGCAGACAAGGGAAAAGAGCCCCTTCAACCTATCCAAAACCACAAAGGTAGCCAGAGGAGGCTTTTATGACATCTGAAGGGATTTTCAATTACATGCATGTACTCTTCTTCTATGTTTCTTATTTGATCCAATACCCTCAGACATCCCATATATAATCAATCTCTTGGC